GACTTCCGGTTCCCGAGATATCGTCGTGTAAAGAAAAGGGTAATTTTTAATCGTTTATTATTTTCGTTCGCGTCTTACTCTCACTCGCGCCTAATTTCACTAACCTATCCCAAACTCCAAACGCGATTCTTGGAAGGATGTAGTACGCATTTCCAGGAAAAAATGTAGGTCGATTGGCTCGCCATTCATAATCTTTACGTTTCAAATATCGTAGAAACTTTGATTCCTTATATCTCGACAACCGATTGAGATATCGGAATAAAACGAAAAACGATTTCAACAGCATGGTTTCCTCTATTTTTTAAGTTTCGATTCAAAATTTTTAGTTTCTTCTCATATTTTTCTATGCGAAAAATAAAAAGTTTAATTTGCGATTTAACGTGAATACAGTGATATAAAGTATAATAGATAGCAATTGCTTGTAGTCATGCTCTCGGAAAGCTCTGGCAAATTAAATTAATCGCAACATCACCGTTCGGAAAACGTTTCCGATAAGGCAACGAAGAACATTTAACCCTTTCATAACTGAAAGCTCCCCTTCGCCCTCGAGGCGCCTAATGGTACTTTGAAATTTCCGGTCCTGTTTCCACGATCCTTACATCAAGATTTCGTTAATCCTCTTTGGGACTCTAAATCGTCGACGCCACCAAGTTTGCCGGGCGAAAGGATTGAATTACGAACGGCTGTAATCGGAAGTTTCTCCAGGGGGAGGGGTGAAAAATTATATTCCATTAAACCGGAACTCTGAATCTTGGCACCGGTTTTAACGATACCATTGACTGAACAACGTGGTGTTTCGTCGTCGAACTCGATCTCGGCAGACATCTGGGCGTGTACACTTGATAAACAGCGATAAAGTGAGACCAAGTTGAATGGCGTTAATCCTTTCGACAGGCGTTCAGAGTTCGAAGTACAAAGAGCTTCGAGCACGATCCTTTCGTCGTTAGTTAACCATCGTCGAAGCGTGGAGGATCGATCGAAACGGTGAAGCTCTTCAAAAATTTATATACGCGCGATGATTGCGAGAGTTGCACGATTCTTCTGCGAAAAAGAAGTAGAGAAGAGGCAGAGGCGAGCTTAATCTATCATCCGCGTGCCGTATCGGTGGACGTGAAAACACACCTTTCCAGACAAACGACGTTCCTCCCCGCTTTATTTCCGCCACGTTACGCGGGACATTTGTTCGGAACGTCTCGAATATTGATCATTTTCTTTTTCTCTTCTCCGGAATATCATCTTCCAAGTCTGGAAAATTAAAACAAAAAAGAAAATAAATAAACTAAAAGATGATAGAATTAATTATTACGAATATAACATCATTTTTTAAAATTATTATTGTAGCTTTTATTATAATCTCGCGAAAAAAAGATCCATTTCCGAAATACGAAAAGTAGAATCATTTTAAGAAAGAATTTTAAAAAGACACCAATGTTTTGAAAAATCCATTCCAAAAAAAAAAATATTTTTGGGAAGATGCTCAAACGCTTTCGAAATCGTCGCCCCTGTTGTAACGATAAAACAACCGTGTGATGAGAAACGAATATAACATCATTTTTGAAAATTATAGATCCATTTCTGAAATACGAAAGATAGAATCATGGAAGGAATTTTAAAAAGTCACCAATGTTCTAAAAATCCATTGAAAAAAAAAAAGATATTCAACTTTTGGAGGGACGCTCAAACGTTTTCGAAATCCTATCGTCGTGACGATAAAACAACCGCGGAATGAGAAATACGAATATAACATCATTTTTGAAAATTATAGATCCATTTCTGAAATATGAAAGGTAGAATCATTTTAAGAAAGAATTTTAAAAAGACACCAATGTTTTAAAAATCTATTCCAAAAAAAAAATATTTTTGGGAAGATGCTCAAACGCTTTCGAAATCCTATCATCATTCTTGTTGTGACGATAAAACAACTGTGGGATGAGAAACGAATATAACATCATTTTTGAAAATTATAGATCCATTTCCGAAATACGAAAGGTAGAATCATGGAAAGAATTTTAAAAAGTCACCAATGTTCTAAAAATCCATTGAAAAAAAAAAAAAAAATATTCGACTTTTGGAGAGACGCTCAAACGTTTTCGAAATCCTATCGTCGTGACGATAAAACAACCGCGGAATGAGAAATACGAATATAACATAATTTTTGAAAATTATAGATCCATTTCCGAAATACGAACGGCAGAATCATGGAAAGAATTTTAAAAAGTCACCAATGTTCTAAAAATCCATTGAAAAAAAAAAAAAAAATATTCGACTTTTGGAGAGACGCTCAAACGTTTTCGAAATCCTATCGTCGTGACGATAAAACAACCGCGTGATGAGAAACGTGTTCCTACGTTTTCGCGCACGAGTTCAGCAAAGAAGAAGCTGTACGTGCCTTGCGTTTCGAGCGCACAGTTTTTATATTTTATTACGCTTTACGATATCCTCCTTATTTCGTCGAGCGGACGAATTTTTATCCGCAATGATCGACGATAAAATAAACGATCGAAACGACGACTTTGAGAGAGAGACTTTTCGAAGATCTCGGTTCGAAAGAACGCTTTTCTCGATCCCAGATATACTTTTCCCCTCCCTTTCCCCTTCAAATAAAGATAGAAACTCGAAACGGATGTTCCTCGAACGTATCGGAATATGGAGGGTCGTGTTCATTGGCCGTAAATTCATCGCCTCGAGTAAATTTGACCATTTCGTCGGGGGCAGGGGTTCGCGTTAACGATCCCTATAACCGTTTTGTCTGATCCTGGTTACCCAGGCCGTATCCAGACCACCCATATTCCATAAAAAAAAGAAAAAAGAAGAAGAAGAAACATCATCGACCCGTTCAGGATCACGCGTTTGATCTATATTTAAATTAACATCGTTTATTAATTAATCGCTTAAATACTTTTATATCCCGTATAAAAGAATTATTATTTCAGAAAATAGTGCTTCAAGTGCTTCGAACTCATGGAACGTATCACGCGTTTGTTTTTTTAATATGTATTCATACAACCAATTTAAAACGGGATTTCATTTATTCAATTATCGTGGAAAAAATTTTTATAAAAGTAACGTGTCGCGAAAATCTTAACCTACAACCTTCGTACAACATCCTTATATATACACCCCTGAGAATATTGAGTATCCTATGAGAATATCCTCCCTTTTTTTTTTCTCTTTTTAAAAAAGAAGGGAGGCACAAAATATATATCACGCTTTATATAAAAAATCTTTTTCTCGTTTCGCAGGTCGAACGCACGACTCCGCCTACACTTTGTACAGGCTAGGGGAAAGATTGTCGAGCGGTGTGAGGTTGTACGTGGAGACCGGAAGGACAGACGGGATGGACGCGGACGGTGACTCGCCGAGCACCCTCCACTCGTTCACGGGCCCCCCCGTGCCCCAAGGGGAGGGGACAAGCGTGGCGCGGGCCTTCCTCGACGGCAATCACACCCTGATAAGCATCATGGCCCGCATCAACCCCAGCCCAGATTGGTTCGTCGGCCTCGATTCCTTCCAACTGTGCGTGGAGGGTAACTGGGTCGATACCGTGACCGTCGAGGTAATTACCCATTTGAGGGGGGGAGGGGGAGTAGAGAGGGATCATTGATTTCGATATCAGAAATCCTGAAATCGCAACATCGAATCGCTTCGACGACCAACAATTTCAATTTCGGGGCGGGGTGACCGCCAACACTCGAAATTAGGCCGAGCCATATGGAAAATTAGATCGAATCGATGAAGGGGAGGAGGAGGCGAATTTTCCATTCGTTTCGCGAAAGCGCGAACAAAAGGCTCTATAGAAAAAGGAAACTTTTTTTTTTCTTTTTTTTTTTCGCTATTTGGATACACGAGACTGTATTAGCGATCCTTGGCGCTCGTTGAAGCGAAGTTTGATCTGGAAAAAGGGTTTGAAGAGAGGAAAAAATTGCGTCGAAAGAGAGAGATGTGTGTGTGTGTGTATATATATATATATAGTATATATAGGTCGTGTGTTCGTCGAGATGGAAAAAAAGCGCGTGGTTTCTATGCCATCTCATTAAAATCCGGCTATTGAAAGAGTCGGGGGATCCATCGTTCGTCTCTTTTCTCAGCTGGATCCGCTGGACGGTGGAACCGATAACGGGTTCACATTCACCGCTGCCAACTGGCCGACCCAACCCCAAGGAATCGCCTACAGGATCACGTCGCGGTATCCGGCGCATCCCGCGGGAAGCTTTTATTATCCGAATCTACCTCGTCTCCCGCCCATAGCCACCCTCACCTTCACCAAGGTAAGTTCGACCTTTTTTCTTTTCTTTTTTTTTCTTTTTGTATCCGATGGACTCGTTCTTTCACGAGTTCATATGATTTGTTTCGTTTTTACAACATTTTTACATGTTGAGTTTTGGATTATTACAACGTGAAATTAACTGATGGATCGTTTGTCCGGTTTAGGATTCAGTAGATTCGTATATATAGGTAGTTTATGGTTGTCAAAATTTACTTTTTCTTCTGTTTGAAACTTCTTTGAAACGATATTATCGAATTAAATTAATACTCGGGATGTTCAGTTTTATTTAAAATAGAATCTCACTTTATTTGATTAATGTATTAACGATAATTGACGATCATCCTCTTAAATTTTAGAATCGATTAATGTTGAAATTTTTATTCCATTTAAAACTTCTGAACGATATTACTGAATCAATTGGGGAGATCCGGTTTTAATAAAAAAAGACAGCTTAAAATATAGAGTCCATAGTATACAATCAATACCTTAAATTAATAATTTCAGTATTTTCCACTAATGAAATTATATATTCATTTTTGACAATTCCACCAACTCTCACAAAAATAACATCCATATCCATTAACTAAAATTATTATTCAATTAAACATTCATATCCATTAATTAAAATTACCATCCATTTTTGCCAACTCTCCAATTAAACATTCACAAAAATAACATTCATATCCATTAATTAAAATTATTATCCATTTCTGCTAATTCCACCTACTCTCCAATTAAACATTCATATCCATTAATTAAAATTATTATCCATTTTTGCCAACTCCCCAACTCTTAAACATTCACAAAAATAACATCCATATTAATTAAATTTATTATCCATTTTTGACAATTCCACGGATTCTCCATCGATTAAACATTATTTCACAACAAGATAATATCAAAGAACGAGATTCCGCGTATATAATAAATATATATATATATATAAAATATAATAAAACACAGGGCGAAACAACGATCCTCCGGCATCGAGGCGTTTTCCAACGTTCGCCAATTTCACCGCGAGCTCCGCTTTAATATTCCAGGGGAGGCATTAAACGGCGCGAGGAGAAAACAAACGCGCGAGCAAGTATGGCCACTTTGTTAGGCTAATATCGTCGCATTACGGGAGGAGGGGGAGTGAGAGAGAGAGAGAGAGAGTGGAGGAGGGCGCACCAACTTAATTGGCATAAATGATAACGGGGGCTTCCTGGACCGAATGTACCCCGAACGTATCGCGGCTGATCCCCCCAACCACGACCACTCTATTTATGCCGCGAGCTCTTAGGATATTAATATTCAAAACGTAATATACACGCGTACTCCTTCGAACTGGGTCACCGGGAGGACCAAACCGCGCGAACATTAGGGAAAATTTCCAATTATATCCGTGTTGCATGTGTGTCTTTGAACATTCGTCTGAATATACGATAGCACAATGTTCGAACGATAACAAAATTGTTAACGATGCACGATTTTCTCCTTTGATATACCTTGACATTTTTTCCTTATCTTTGTATTTTTATCATCCAACTGGTCAATAATAAATTTAAAAAGAAAAAAAAGTCTAGGTACAAATTACAAATTCTGATCTGTCAAAGAAAAAAAAAGAAGAAGTGAAGTAATTCAAAAGTTAAGTTTCGAGAGTAAGTGGTTGTAATAAGACAATGCTAATTTTTTTTTTTTTTTTTAGAGTATTAAAAAGATTAAATTAAAAAGTTGAAATGGATCCTTAAAGTTGTGAAAGCACCGTTGTAATTATTATAACAGACACGAGTATCGAGATTATATATGCAAATTCTTTTCCCTCTAAAAAGTTGAAAGTGGATCCTTAAAGTTTCAACATTTTTTTTCTTTCTTTTTTATCAATTACAGCGAAACTTTAAAAACGTGGTGAAATTTCAATGCTCCACCGTCTCGTTATAAAAATATTCCTATATAGAAAATCTTATTCGAAAAGAACACGAGATTTTCTTGGAAAAAGA